TACACACACACACACAAACCACCGCCACCCCCGATTCCCATCCACCTTTTCCCGCCGGTGCACATCGCAGTGGCGTACGTAAATTCGAGTCGCGTTAAATTCTTCAGTTGTCCGACACGTACGGAAGTTGGAACAGTGGATTTTATTGTTATTAACAAAGTTTCGCCCCGTTTAACGCCGCATACGTGACGCACATAAATGTTACGTAATTCAGCACGTACATACAAATATATATATATATATAGATAGATAGATTGTTAGATAGATGGATAGAAATAGATAGAGAGGAAGAGAGAGAGGGAGGAATGGAAAAAAAATAAGCAATTAAAATTCGGTCGATCCCTTTGATTCACTTTAACCCTTCGAAAATTCCCACCCGCGTTTCTTTTTCTCTCTCTATCTCTCTCTTCCTCTCCTTTCGCCCTTAATTAATCCGTTCATTAAATCCGCTTTTTCCCTCCGTCTCTTTCTTTCTGTCCCAGAAATAACGATTCAAATTTAAACCAAAAAAAAAACATGTATATTAACTAATGTATATATTATTAATGAGAAGAGTATATGGAGCGTATATATATATATAGATATTAAAAGATATATAAATATGCAAAGACGAAGTTTTTTTGTGATAATAAATGCAATAACGACCAAGACGAAACGACGATTTAGTAAAAAGAAGAAAGACTTTCCTTATTTTGCGCAGTTGATTTTATACAGTAATAAGCGCTTCGTTGTTCCATCCCCCTCCCAACACGTCAAAATAAGAACGAAACAAATGAAAGTAGCAACAACAGTTTATATTTGTACTCTCTGTAAATAATATTCGTATTTCGGTGAGCGTCGCCCTCTACCGGCGATTAAAGTAAATATATAGAAAAAGTATGTGAACATTTTTTTTAAATTAAATTACTGTATAAAATGTTTAGACGCTACGAATTTGGGAGTTTTATAGTGGTTTTTTTTTATTTCTTTAACGATTGTACTAATTGTAATTAATATTTAGGCGAAAGAGCTTACAAAAAGTCGTCTATTTTTATTGTTTAGATGGTTGTTTGTAAATAAAAACACGTTGGCAAAGTTAAGAGACCTGTCATTTCAAGTGCGTCGAGTTGCCTAGCCTCGTTCTGTTTTATCGCCTGAGCCATCTAGCGGGACAATAATACACTTTTTTTTAAGAATTATTATTTTCTTCGATTGCTTAAATATGAATCTTGATGCCTCGACGATTTAATCGAACCTGACGCTTTTTATATCAAAATAATAATTGCTCTCTTTGAACTGGTCGTCTTGGAGCTTGGGAATAATCGAAATCTGAAGAGATAAACTCGTAAATATTGGACGAAGATTCGTTTTCGCATTTGCGCATCCGGGCGATAATCGTAGGCGCATTTGCGAGCCCTAAACATAAACACAGTTTAATAATTTTCGAGTGGGTCGAATGGAGTTCGGGTCATTTGCGAACTGCCATAAAACTTGCATTACTCCGGGTATTAGAGGACGCAACCCTCCCATGCTAAACCTAATATCTGAATAAACAAGACTGCTGACCCCAATTTGTGCACGACAAACGGCATGCTCCATCCAGTTTTCCTTTTTTTTCTTAAATTTACCTAAAGATCTTCACCATTAACTTAACATCAACCAACCCTCCTAAAACTCATCTGTTTCTCATTCGAGTTAAACGTCAAAATCTAATTTTCCACGTTCCAATTTGAGGTTAAAATTAACAATTTGTGAAACCTTTTCCTACTCTAACTAAAATTAATTTATTTGATTTTAT